ACCTTCCTAGAACTTCCTAAGGAGCTACTTGTGCAATGTTTAGATGGGTTCATTACTTCCACCTATCCTAATTGACCTCCCATACGTCATTCTAGTTAGGGACTTAGTCATTTACTTCCATTGTACATCTTACTTTAGGAAAAATGTAGCCTTAACTGACATAGACCTAAACATGGAATTCGATGTCATAAAACCCCACACTGAAAGAAGGCAGTCTACCGGCCAAAGTAGAACCAAACATGACATAGCTTTCTCGGTGGATCCACTAGCTAGTATCCTCTGGTGGCAACATAGTTATGGAACTTGGAGGTACATGTGAAAACCCTCTTTATGCCTTATGGGGCATTATGGTTATTCACTTGTGGAAACCCTCATTATACCTATTGAGGTAGTGTGGTTATCCACCTCATGAGATTTATGGTAGACCTTCCTTCCCACATTAGAAAGGGACACACACTCATATACAAATTCACTCGGTGCTAAACTAAGTTCCCTTTATTGAAAAAGCCTTTATTATCTTTTTTCATAAAACATAAGCTTAGGATATTCACTCCCATATGCTTATAACATATTCAAGCACTTATTTTAGAGTATTCTTGGGCAAAACTTTCAAGGACCCTCTATTAACTAGATCTTCATACATGTGTGTGAGTGTATACATAAATATGAGCAAACCTTTCACATAACACATAATGTCACACATGTTCTTGTATCATTGCATAAGGTTATAGGTATAACAATATGAGCAATACTTTTCTTACAAACCCATTAAGACTCTATGCACATTCTTACTTCATCATATTATATAAATCTTATTCATAACCTATCCGTACATCCATTTTCATGCACATAGAAACCAAACCTAGGAACTATACTATCAAGGTACACATGTGCAATGCATAGACAAGGTCACATACCCTTGCCTATGCTAGTACACCTATCAAGTAATCCTATAAAGGAGATACATATCATATTTCACATACATATATTTTACATGCATAATAGTAGACACTATTGAATATGAGAACAACCTTTCATTTAGACATCATGACCTATACTACTTGTAAGCATTCATGTAGAGTGAGGGTGGGTGTACATTTGTCAACAACAATATATTGAGGCAGCCACCCTCTTAGGACCACAATACACATTCAAGCATAGACCACACAACACATAATAGCATAGGAGGCAAGACAATCTACACATTATAATCAAGACTCCTAACTTTAGCCATTTACACATTCATATAAGGGTACATAGGTAGGGGTCATTATTCATTAACAATTCATTAGTGGAAGCACCTACACATGACCTTACATAAACATTTACATACTCATAACAATCGTAACATAACCTAGATTCACAACTTACCTTCAAGGACATGGTAAACACATATATAATGACAATAGAGTAAACACCTCCACCATAAGTGGACCATACCACACAACGCCATACAAGGATTCATCAACAATTACTGTAAAGAAGTACAGAAGTAGAAAAGTGGAGTAACTCTTACCAATCCTTTAGCTTTTAGCCATCATTGACCATTACTACTCTTTAATCAATAATTCAAGTATAGGTCAGTAACTAAAACATAATAATCAGATACAAAGTCATGCCTAAACTACTACAAGGCCATGCTACAAACTAGTACAACATATCATTAACATGTTAGAATGTAGGAGGACATAGACCATCAACCAATTTCACTTACATGGATTATAGATCATATTTAATCAATAATATCAATCTAAGTCAGTATCTAATCATACACTTAGTCAGAACAAAATCATGCTTAAAGCACTTCAAGATAAAGCTTCCAACATAGTCATTAAACTATCAATTCAATAGTGAGTAGAGGGAATAGGATATATTACCAATTCCTCAAAGTATTGATCATCAATCATATGTTAACAATAAATACATGCTATTCAGTAGATCAATAGATATTTACTAAGAAAAAATCATGCTTCGTCTAACCACTATTCGAGATCACATCATATACATAGCCTTTTTACTTCATAGTCTAAAAGATCTAGATAAATTCATGCAAGCCTTTATTTAATTTGGTCATCAAGGTTTTATACCCACAACTCATCCATAATGTTAACTTAAGGAAGTAGCTACATTGATTCATGTATAATTGAAATCCTACACAATTGTTCTAAAATTGAATTCATTGTAACACATAGGAACATAGGCTAGTAACACTCAAATCTTCATACATTGATCCTCATGGATACTTAATCATAAATTAAACATTAGATTCACTTATATAACAGTAGGTATAACCACTTCAACTTAATAGAATCACAATTCAATCGATAACAAATCAAGATCACAAAGCCCATGCAAGGACTAAATCAATTTAAGGGAGGAACATGGGTTCATCATGCAATTGGATTAAAATCACGTTCAAACCAACACATTAACATCAGTTCATAGTGATTTACCATTTAAAATGTTTTTAAAAATAACCCATGGCTAGATTGAAGAAGAAGAACTTTGATCATGAAATCTCCTTTGAAACTTTGAGAAGAACTCTCCAAGTGAAAGGTTACTTAGAGATGAAGGATCATCATACCTTTGTCTAGCTGAAAACCTCTAAAACTTGGTGATTCATATATGGAAATCCAAGCTCCAAGCTATTCTTGAGCTTCAGCAACAATGGTGGTTTCTAGGGAGAATATTTTTGGAGGGAAAGGTTCAATTTGTGTGAGTTGGTTTGGGAATGGGTTGATAATGTTTTTGACCACTTAAATACACCTAAAATCACAAAATAAATCATGTGGGTTCAGTTTATCACGTTGGCTAAATTTTCCATTCACCCCTTTAATGAAACAGTGCGCAGGAACTAGCACCACGCTACCATTGATGAACCAAATCAACTAGCCATTGGTCAATCAACTGGCCATCCTTTGGCTTCCGTCGATTGGTACTTGGCAAATATTTTTATTTGAGACATTCCCAAGATAAGTATCTGTTGATGATACCTCACCTGCAGGCCATTAGTCAACCAACTGTCCGTTGTTTGGTGCATTGATTGACATTGCCAAGGCAGTGTCTCGACTAGCCTTAGGTCCTTCTTGTGGGCCCTTTTGCGGGGCTCTTTAGAAGTCGTACCCATCAATTTCCAATTTAAATACAACACTTAAAAATTTTTAGACCTTCCACATAAGTTTCACCCAAAATAAACACATGCAAATCGTCCAAACATGCAAGACCCCATCAAGTCACACACATGCATATCTCTAGGCTATCTTTCGAACGTCTTGAACGTTCTTGGACGTTTGACCTCCAAGCTTCACTAAACTTCACATACTACCATTTAAAACCATTATAAACCATTTTAATACTTATTAATCTCATGACATACAAATATAAGCATGCATAGACACATCAGGAACATGGGTGACTATTCGTCGAACATTTTGGTCGTCCCTTGACGTTCAACTTCCAAATCAACTCAAACTTTACACACTGACTCTAAACCATATTATAATTCATTTTAGGACCTTAGAACCTTAATACTAACATGTTAGTATCTATACACCCTAACTCGTTTTGTGGTGTTACAAAGGGGTGTCTATATCACATAGTAAGAGTAAAAGATTTAGACTTCGAAATTCCTCCCATTGAGTCGGTCCCCGTAGTGAGTGAATTTCCGGAGGTCTTTCCTAATGATACTACCGGTATTCCTCCCGAACGGGAAATTCATTTTGGTATCGATTTGTTATTGGAAATGAACCTATTTTGATTCCTTCTTATCGAATGGCTCCAATCGAATTAAAGGAATTGAAGGCTCAACTCAAAGATTTTTTAGACAAGGTCTTTATAAGGCCTAGTATTTCTCCGTGGGGTGCTCCGGTGTTGTTTGTAAAGAAGAAAGATGGGTACTTGAGAATGTGTATTGATTACCGCCAGTTCAACAAGGTCACTATTAAGAATAAGACCCTCTCCTTGGATTGACGATTTTGTTTGATCAACTACAAAGGGCGAGTTACTTTTTTAAAATTGACTTGAGGTCGGGGTATCACCAACTTAGGGTGAGAGGTGAGGATGTACCAAAGATGGCATTTCGGACTAGGTATGGGCACTATGAGTTCTTGGTAATGTCTTTCTGTCTCACTAATGCTCCGGCGACGTTTATGGACCTAATGAATAGGGTGTTTCAAAGTTACCTAGATTCATTTGTCATTGTCTTCATTGACGACATCTTGGTATATTCAAAAAATGAGCGTAATCACATGGGTCATTTGAGGGTGGTATTGCAAACCCTTAAGGAACATCAATTGTTTGCCAAGTATAGCAAGTGTGAGTTTGGTTAAGGTCGGTGACATTTCTTGGGCATATTATCTATAGTGAAGGAGTTGAGGTAGACCCAAGGAAGACGGAGGCGGTGAAACATTTTGCCCTAGACCATTGACTATTTTAATTATTTTCGGAAAAAATAATATTTTGAAAGGTTTTATGACTTTTTAGAGTCGCCACTTAATTTTTAAAGAAAAATCAAGAAAACTATGTTTTCAAAAAACTTAAACAGAAACATCATTTGAATACTTTTAAGGAGTTCGGAGATTCCTATTAATCTTTTAGGAATGTTTGAAAGCACCCAAGGCGTCCGCTTACTTGCGGTTATCTGGTAACTAACTTTGGCTAAAAGGATTTAATTTGAGATAAGAAATTAATTAGGTTTGCTGGAGAGTGAATTATTTTGCTTTTCATGTAAGTGTGACATAACTTGACTGATTTAAATTAAATCTAACTTGATTCAATCTCATTCAAAATCTTTATTAAACCTACTTATCAACTTATTTGCTAAGCGAGGCTCTCCATTTGAAATTTTCTCGAATCCATTTTAGACTAGGTTGATTCAACTTAAATTATTAAAACGAGATAGCATTTTGCTGGGGTTTGAGTGTTTTAACCCTAAAACTAATGACAGATATCGACAAATAAGGAAATAAATGCGATAAGTAAAAGAGAGAGAGAGAAAGAGATTTGGATCAAAATCCGGGTTTTCTGTTCGCCTGAACCGGTATTTGGACACATTTGTTTTGGGTTTTGAACCATTTCAAATTTTTGTACCTGTCCTAAACTCTAGAAAAATAATAAATAACAAAAAGGGACAAGGGGGCTTAGGCCCGAATTAACAAATTACAAGAGTTAATACCTCATATGGTCACTCAACTAAATGGTTTAATTTATTTTTTAAAAGTTTTGATTTGTTATATAAATAATTAATATCAACAATTTTCAATTAAAAATAATTTAATAGATTGAGTGACTTTTGAGGAAATGGTGGATAGTTGAGTGACTTTTGAGTTAAAATTCAAAGTTGAGAGACTTTCTGAGAAAGAAGTGCATAGTTGAGTGACTTTTGAGTGAAAATTGAAAGTTGACTGACTTTCTGAGAGAAGAGTGCATAGTTGAGTGACCATTTGAGGTATTAACTCCAAAATACAACATAAGATGAATGTGGGCTTTTTGCGCCGGAGGTTTTGATTCTTCCATTGACTTCATATCCTTCAAATTTGAAGACCTGTTCGTCAATATTGGAGAGGTTAACTCGATAAAGTGACTTGTTCCTTTATGAATAAGGCAAGGGAAAAGTGGGAATTCGAAGTGAACTCGAGCATATTGCCATGCAAACTAAACTAGAAGATAGGGATCAATAAACAGTAATAAACTGGTAATATATTTAAAGCAAACCACAACAGCCACTAAACCAAAAATATAGAAAATATTCAGTTTTACTCAAACGTCAGGAAAGAGAGGAAAAATATATTTTGACATACTCCATCTTTAAGATTTTTAAACAAGAAGAAACATGTGAGGAAATAAATTTCCAAAGGACAGACACAAACACATGATACAAATATGGTTTCATCAGTAATCAATTAAACGAGCTTAAAACAAAAGACACAAACGTCAAAGCGAACCCACAACAGCTCAACCAAATTTCAATTACGACTTTATCACACTACGAGCAATGCCCACATATAACCCCATATCAACCAATTTTCAAGATTCTGCCTTATGCAAAAAGGAGAAAATACTACTGCTGGAATTTTCAAAACATGAAAGAACAAGGAAAAAGAAAAAGAACAGTGATTCGACAGTATTCGTACACGCATACCAAGCAAGAGGATAATGAGGCAGACTCAAACTAAGAATCAATGAAGCCACAACTCTAGATACGAAACAATAAGAAACCTTAGCCGAACCTTTCAAAAACAAGATATCAAACACGTTAAAACCACATATTTGCCACTACAAATAGTAGTGACACCACGATAACAATAGTGGGGTGCAAATAGACAGGCTCAACATCTTTCAACTTCCATGATTCAAAATGAGCAACGATAAAGAAAGACGACACGATAAATAATGACACACAACAGAATGGTGATTTAGAACATCATATGTCTAGACTTCACACTTAATCAAAGCGAAGTAAGAAAATAACCAAACGACCATCAAAACAAACTCGAACACAGAAAGAGATAACCAGAATGGAGCTCGAAATCATGAACTAAACAACATCCAGACCAAGATGATTTGAAGTGTCAAAAGAATTTACCTTCTCCGGGGCAGCTGAACCGAGGCAGAAACGAGCAGGAGACGACCACCTCCACAACACAAAGATTGATCGCAAAACCGACCCTAAAAGATTCTGGATAGAAATCTTATACCAAGAAATAAAGACCCTGTATTTACCCTCTTAGTAATATCTTTATTGTGTATTTAAACACCAATATTTTGAGTATTCTTTGTGAATTTTCTCTCTCATAGAAAAAACCAAAAAAATCCCCCTTCTTAACAGTGAAGCTAGAAAAGCTTATATAGCTGAGAAATTAGGGCTTCAAATGGAGAAGAATCGGGTTAAAACTCAGACCTATTTCGAGTTTTCTCTTAAAAATTCAAAACAAAACTTTTTCAAAAGAGGGGAAACCACTTTTCTGGACTTTTTAACCTTATTCCGGAAGGAGAAAGGGAGGTACATAGCTGAGATCAAGTCATTCGTCCTTGGGGTGAGACATGTCTCAATCTCACACTACCAAGGACGACTCGCGTGATCTGCTGCTGCTTTCTATTGCGATGGTACAATCGAGAGGGACGTTGGGGGAGAAAAGAGAAAGCGGAGCACAGTCCTCTGCGTCTTTCGCTTCTTCTTCACGTGTGTCTCGCTGCGGGGTGTCAATTTAGTCTCTTTTTGGAGTTCTGGGTTTCACGCGTTTTGGGGGATGAGTTTCTGGTTTCACACGTTTTTGGGGATGAGTTTTGGGTTCTAACGCGTGAAGAATGAAGTAGAGGAAGACGTGGGCTGGACTTCTTTGGGGTGTTAAGAGGAAGAGGGATTGAGCCGGTATTAAATTGTAAATGAGGGAGTAGAGCCTGGGTCAACCGAATTTGGGTTGGGCTGGAATGGGCTATAGAAAAAATGTTTAACCAATTTGGGCCTGAGAATTTACAAGATTAAAATGTTGAATCAACAAAAAAAAAGCCCAAGCTTGATTTTTAGAACTAATAGATTTAACCAAATTAAAACAAATGGTGAATCCTGTTGAGACGAATTAAAACAAGGCAATTAATAAGCTTCTCAATTTTGATGAAATAAGTAATCCACTTAATTATAAGCACGACTAATCCAAAAAAGTAAACTACTATATGCCTAACATAAATAATAAAATATTTTTAAGAATTAAATTAAATTTTTTTAGCACGAACTTCGAATACTGTACGGACATATGTATATATATTACTAAACAATAATAAATTGGTAAAAATTATTTTACAAAATAACTTGCAAAAATATTTTGAAATTTGTAAAGACTAATCATTTTAAATTGTCTTAGAATTAAAGAACCTCGTCAACTGAGTATTATCAGGGAGGGCCAAAATTGGGTGTCAACATTGACTCCAACTGACATTTAGAGTTTCTTGGGTCTAGTGGGATTATCGGAGGTTTGTGGATGGTTTTGCATCCATTACATCTCCCTTGACTACTTTGACCCAAAAGTATAAGAAATTTGAGTGGTTGGAGGCATGTGAAAAGAGCTTCGAAATATTGAAATATAGGCTTACTTCCGCTCCGGTGTTGACTTTACCAGAGGGTACAAAGGAGTTTGTTGTGTATTGTGATGCATCCGTGTGGGTTTAGGGTGTGTGGTTATACAACATGGGAAGGTGATAGCCTATGCTTCTAGGCAACTTAAGGCGCATGAGAGAAATTATCCCACTCATGACCTTGAGTTAGCGGTTGTGGTGTTTGCTTTGAAAATATGGAGGCACTACTTGTATGGTCTTCATGTTGATGTCTTAACCAACCATAAAAGTCTCCAATATGTGTTTACCCAAAAGGAGTTGAATCTCCGGCAAATAAGGTGGTTAGAATTGTTGAATGATTCGATATGAGTGTCCTCTATCACCCCAGCAAGGCCAATATGGTTACGGATGCTCTAAGTCGTATGACTATGGGTAGTGTGTCACACATAGATGAAGACAAAAAAGACCTAGTGAAAGATGTTCATGGGTTGGCTAGGTTGGGTGTGACATTGGAAGGTTCTCCAAATGGTGGGGCTACGGTCCATCATAACTCTGACTCATCATTGGTGGTTGAGGTGAAGTCTAAACAACAGTTTGATCAACCATTAATGGAGTTGAAAGAATCGGTTCTCAACAAGTTTAACGAGTCATTATCCTTAGGGGGGATGGTGTATTGAGGTACTAAGGGTGATTATGTGTTCCCAATATGGATGGGTTGAGGGACCGGATCCTTGAGGAAGCCCATGGGTCCCGCTACTCCATTCAGCCGGGTTCAACAAAAATGTACCATGACCATAGGGAAATATTTTGGTGGGAAGGTTTGAAGAAGTACATAGCGGAGTTTCTTGCTAGGTGTCCAAATTGCCAAAAAGTAAAAGCCAAACATCAAAAGTCGGGTGGCTTACTACAAGAGATCAAAATTCCTACTTGGAAGTGGGAAGACATCAATATAGACTTTGTAGTGGGTTTGCCTCAGACTCAAAAACAATATGACTCTATATGGGTGATTATGGATAGGTTGACTAAGTATGCTCATTTTATTCGTGTCAAATCAGCTTATTCGGTGGAGGATTATGCTAACATCTTCATAGATGAGGTTGTGTGTCACCATGGTATTTCGTTATACATCATATCGGATCGGGGTGCACAATTCACATCTTGGGTTTGGAGGTCATTCCAAGAAGGTTTGGGTACTAAGATGAATTTGAGTACCGCTTTTCATCTTAAATGGATGGTCAAGCAGAACACACTATTCAAACCCTTGAGGACATGATTAGGTCTTGTAGTATTAATTTTAAAGGGAATTGGGATAAGCATTTGTATTTGGTAGATTTTACTTATAAAAATAGTTTTCATTCATCCATCTCCATGGCTCCCTATGAGTCCTTGTATGGTAGGAGGTGTAGGTCTCCTATAGGGTGGTTCGAAGTGGGTGAGCCTTCGCTTCTTGGTCCCGATTTGGTTTATCAGACTTTGGATAAAGTTCATATCATAAGGAACCTGTTGCAAAAGGCCTATAGTCGGAAAAAGTCTTATGCCGATTATAGGAGGAGGGATTTGGAGTTTGAGGAAGGTGACAAGGTGCATTTGAAAATTTCACCTATGAAGGAGGTAGTTAGATTCGGCAAGAAGGGGAAGTTGAGTCCTCGTTATGTGGGTCCCTATGAAATTTAGCAAAGGGTTGGTAATGTTGCCTATGAATTGGAACTTCCTATTAAATTGACTTCGGTTCATCCGATTTCCCATGTTTACATGTTGAAAAAATGTGTCGGTGATCCCCGTGTCGGTGATCCCTGAGTCTATTCTTCCTATTGAGTGTCTTGGTTTCAAGTATAAACACTCCTTTGAGAAGGTTCCGGTTCAAATTCTTGATAGGAAATTGAAGAGGTTAAGTAATAAAGAGGTGGGTTCCGTAAAAGTTTTATGGAAAAATCACCTAGTTGAGGGTGCAACATGGGAGGCCGAGGCCGACATGAAGTCCCCTTACCTTCATCTTTTTTATTACTAAGGTTATTCATTCTTTTTAATAAAATAAATATGACTAGAAATTGAATTTTCTTGATTTTTGGTGAAGTCTTGTAAAAATATGCCTTTTTAAATTTGCATTACAGTGTGTTACAGTGAATTTTGTGCCTAAAACTTGAAATTTTTGCCTTTTGGTTTGTTTGAGTTATGTTGTGCATTTTGACATGGTTAGTATTAGTGAAAGTTTATGTGACATGTTGATTAGTTGAACTTTGTGCTAATTGACTCATGTAAAGTATGTTGAGCTCATGTGTGTTGTGCGAAGGAAATGTCTCATGATGAAATGTTTGAGCCTTATGGGTGGTAATTGAAGTTTTGAAGTTTCCTTGTTCAAATGATATGATTTATGTTGTTTTGATATTGTTAATTGGTTGGGATGCTAGTATTGATATTATTACTTCTTTCAAAACAATTTTAGTGTCATTTGAGGACGAATGTTCCTAAGGGGGGATAATGTAACATTTTGAAAATTCAAAACTTGTCTTAAAGCCTGACATAGGTGTCTTGAGGTCTAGACACTGCTTTTAAGACTATTGTAATGAATATGAGTCATTTAGGAGGATTAAGAACCAAAACGTCTATGAACGTCCATGACATTGGAAAATTTTGTTCAAGGACGTACTAGCGTGCCTTAGCCTATTTGACTAGCTTTTTGGAGTCGGAAATTCATGAAATTAGGTGGAAGGGTGTATAACATATGTAAAATTTGATTCTTGGTTGAAACATCCGTGTACGAATTCCCAAGGACAAACCAAGGGTCCTTGAGGAGGACCCTAGCACGTAGGGGGCAACACTGCCTGGGCAGTGTGCAGCCACGAAAGCGAAGGAAAGGCTCATGTGTGGATCGGCGTGGCGTCGATGCGAACCGTCGTCCCACACTTAGGAAAAATGGGGAATACCTCGCCTGCACAAGTCTTTGACCAAAACGACGAGCGTGCAGGATGTAGGGGGGCCAAGTCGTTGACTCACAGAGGGCCCGTCGTTCAGGTTCTCGTCTGTGAGAGTAAGTTTTCTTGCACGTTTTTAAGTTAATTCATTTAATTAGTTAAGGGGTTAGTTGTTTAATTAGGGGTTTAAGGGAGTCTAATTAGGTTAATTAAACCCCTATATAAAGACCCCAACCCTCATTAGCCTAAAGACAACTCACAAAAGAAACTCTCTTCCTTCTCTCTTCTTTCTCTCTCTATTGGCAGACACCATTGAAGACAAGCCAGGGGGAGGTTTTGGGGGCTTTAAAAGGACAATTTCACCATCAAAGCTTCATAAAACGTTAAGGTATTGGATCTAATTCACCTTTGATACTTTTTTCCTCAAAGACCTCCTTCAAAGTATTTCTAAAAGTTGAGTTTTCAAGTGGGTTTCATCAAATTATAAATTTGATGTTATGAATTGAATTGTTTGTGGTTTCTTTAGCATAAAATGAATAGATTAACATGTATTTTAACTTGATAATGATGACTTATGATGATTAGGTCTAAATTGTAGAACATGTTCCTTAACCCTAGTTTGATCTTGATGTGAATTAGGTTGTGAATAATTAAATTGACTTGATTATTGGTTAAATCACTATTAGATAATTTTTCTACACTAATAATGAACAAATTATGGCAAATTGTTGTTTTCCATACTAGTTCTTGAGAAGTGATCTAGGTTATGAGAATTGACCTAAATGTCTTGTCTTGAGTTGTGATCAAGTATTGAATTATGGTGTAGTGATTCTTCTAGCTTTATTCTCATGTTTGTTATTGAATTATATTGATTTTATGACCTATTGGGTTGAATTATGGGTTGATGGTAAGACCTTAGTGATGAACTATGAATGAGACTTGGTAAGTCTTGTAATCCCTATTTCGTACTTCAACTTGTGGTTAATTGTGATTAAGTCATGATGTTGTGTTGGAGTATGCCTTATTTAGGATTGATAGGGTGGTATGATGTCGAATTGAAATGTATTGATTTGGTTGTGAGGTTGATTAAGATGTAAATGCTATAAGGATGGTGATGCTTATCAATGTGCCTTATTATGAAGTAATATGTAATGTGTTAACCTCGCTTATATGAATTGTGATGAAAGGACTATAATCGTGCAATTATTAATGAGCTATGATGATGATGATTATATAAGGGCTAGGCCCTATGACCTAAACTAAGTTATTATTGTTAATAAAGACTTAAAGACATTTCAATAAAGGGACTTAGCTTAGCACCGAGTAAACTTAACAATGGGAGGTGATGACTTCCCAAACAAGAAGGTTCACCCAATAGTTCTACATGTGATGTTGACTTCCCAAAGAGGAATACTCATCCAACAGATTCCCATAATAGGAGACTCCAATTACCAAGTGGTTTGAAAGGGACTATACTATGGCTTAGTTCTTGAACTATGTTGGCCTCATAGGAAGACTAGCTAGTGGATCAACCTAGAAAGCTATGTTTATGATAGGTTTTAATTTGACCGTTAGACCACCTTCCATCGATGTAATGATATACTGTGGTTTCACGGTATAATTAATACTTTTTCCTTAAGTTTAGTGTGTCCGAAAGTCTTTTTGTGCTAGTTTTTATATAAGTTTCTCTTTGTTTTACAGGAAATCTGTCCAAAGCTGAATGCGGAAATTTTGAGCGAA